TGATTATAGCAACTCGAGGTTTGAATTTGTTCTTCAGTTCCTTGAGCTTAAGATATGCTGAGCGAGTTCGGCCCTTTTGATTTTCCGACTCCAACTCCTTGCACATTTCATTGTAATATTTTAAAACCCTCCTATGTGTATATTTAAGGATTTATTGTGTGCCAGGCTATGTAATGAATGAATCCTCAGGTGCGAGGAGACCACTTACTATCTGAATGAGGGAATTTGCAAGCAAACAAGCAATGCTACTAGAGAGCAAGGTCATTGAGGAAAAGAGGAAGCTGAGTTCTGGGAGGGGTGTGGGGAGGAGAGCTGACCCCCTGGGAAAGATGCGAGTTCTCTCTCCTTCATGTGTAGATGGAACGTGGCGTGGGGGGCATGGAGAATGCGAGGCCTCTGCCAGTTTCTGGAGGCACGGAAGGTGCATGGGGTGTGGAAAACCGGGCAACTCACTGATTAGCGATAGCTGGCTTTACCATCTGAATCCAGTAACTCCACTGTCCAAAGATTTTCTACTCTTTAAAAAAAAAAAAAGCAAGCAAACAACACAGTCCAGTGTGTTCCTGGAGACTTGCTCTTTGGAGCACTTGCCAAGCCTTCTTTAGATAGTAACTGGGCGACTCTCTGTGCAGGCACTATGCTAGTCTGAGCACAGACAGTGCCTCCGGCTTGGGTGAGCTTGAGATCTATTACATACAGACCTCGGGCGAGCAATTAGGTTAGGGCTCAGGGTGAGAAGAGGGTGGAGATCTCGGATGTTAAAGCCTAGTTAAGGACCTCATCTGCTTTCACTGCTCTCTGGGAGCGGGGGGCGAGGGCGGTTCCTTAACTGGTCTTTCTTTCCCCATAACCGACGCAGCTCTTTCTGTATTGCCTGCAGTACCCTTCTCCCCAGGCCCAACCTTGGGCATGGCGCTCGCGCAGCCACAACTGGTGGCGCCCAGCTCAGCCCAGAGAAGCCGCCGGCCCTTCTCCCCTCGCAGGGGGCTGCTGCGGGGCGCACGGTGGCGCCCAGTCTGGCCCGCCTCCGCGCGGGGGCGCCCCTGCCCACACGTGGCCGCGCCGGGCGTGCGCCGGAGGGATCGGTGCTCTTCAGCCGGCGTCTGAGCCCCTACAGGGGAGGGTCAGCCTGGGGCCGGAGGGGGCGCCCACGCCGAAGGCCACCTGCACAGGTGGTCGCGGCCTGGACACCGAGGAAGCCCGGGGCTCCCTGCGTCCGTCTGCTTTCCTGGGCGCAGGTGGCCTGGACGCCCGGCGGGATCCAGGCACGCGCCCCACGCTGTAGCCTGCCTCGACCGGGAACACTCTGGGCACACGTGCCCCGAGACAGCCTGCCCGGTCCCGGGGACACCAAGCGCTCCTCCCTGCAGTTCGCCCAGATGGTGGGGACACTGCGAGCGGACTCTGTGGCAGCTCGCCCGGACCCTGGGAGGCACTGTGGGCGCGGGCACGTCGCTGTCGCCTCCCTGACACCAGGGGACACTGCGGGCTCCCCTCCAGCAGCTGCCCGGACTCCGGGGACACTGCGGGCGGGCGCAGGGGGCAGCGTTGCGGCGACAGGGCGGTCCGAGTGCGCGGAGCGACGACAGGGCCACCGCGTGTCCCCGCCCCCTCGGGCTGACACCACCCCACCCCCATCCCACCCTCCCCCCGGGCCGCGCGCTTCTCTCGACCGCAGTTGCTCTCTCTCCACCACGATGAACAAATGAGCTCGAGAGAGGGCATGACATTTAAATTCCACTCTGGAGAGAAAGTGCTGTGCTTCGAGCCTGACCCCACGAAGGCGCGAGTCCTTTACGATGCCAAGGTGCTGCCGCGGGCGGGGACAGGGAGGCGGGGCGGGCAGGGATCGGGACAAGCAGCGGGCGCTAGCGGCTGTCCTTCGGCCATGGGACAGCAGCGGGATGATGGGACTGCAGCACAGGCGGCCCGCGCTCCTCAGCCTGCAGCGCACGGATGGGCGGCAGAGGGCACTCGCGGAACTCTGTGCGCGACTCGGGGACAGAGTGCTTCCGTTTCCGGTTGGCATGTCCCAGGGGGGCGGGGGGGTGGAGAAAGGAGGCGTGTGCGCAGGCGCTGTCGGCAGCTGGGTGCGTGCCGGTGGCGAGTTAGCGCGGGCAGCGTGGCCGCGGCGGTTGGCCTGCTGTCTTCTCGCACCCGTTAGTCCTCTCCGGCTTCTGCGCGGTGCAGCACGGCACGGCTTCCTGGGGGTCACCGTGAACAACAGACACAGGTCCTAATCCACAGCATCTCATTGCTCACCGCCCACTCGCGACACCATCCACCCCCGTCGTGCCTGGACTCGACACCTCCCGCAGGCCAGGTCTCCCATCAACCCCGAGTGCAGCGCGGCAGGGCCCTTCCAGCACTTCTGATTGCAGAGCTTTTGGCCCCGCTGCCAGGGTCTTGCCCGGGGCAGTCCACATGAGCTCCAGAGGGGCTGCGCCGCCTCCTGGAGCCCCTCAAGCCCGAGGGTGGGAGCAGTGCTAAACAGCGAAAGGCTCCGGGGCTCGCACTGACCAAGCCCCTTGGGCTATTAGTGACCCGAGATGACAGGTGCGGCCCCTAGGTGTGGCTGTTGCGCTGCTGGTGGCTCTTCCCCTCAGGCCTCCAGGCTGTGCCGATTCCCTCTTCCAGCCCCTCCCTCGTAGCCCCGGTGCGGTTTTTTACCCTCTTCCCTGCCCTCCCTCCTCCCTCACCCTCCACCTCTCCTTCTGAGGCTCCCAGGCTGAGCCAGCCCACATCGTTTGTCCCAGAAGTAGGTTTTGGGGCTACTTCAGGCGGGGAGAGAGGTGCCTCTTTTCTCTGAGCGCCTCTGAGCCCGGGGACTACAACTCCCAGTGATCATGGGGCTGCAGCCCTTTTGTGTCGCTGGGACACCTATTAGTGACAGGTTCGCTGGCCAATGGCTTCGGAAGCGTCTCCTTTCCCTAGGCTCGGATACCAATCACAGACTGGCTGTGTGGCATCCACTCGGGAGAAAAAAAAAATGGAATTGAAAGGAAAATGTTTCAGCCCGGCTCTTGGGCTAAAAAAGGAGAGGAAGCTTTGCTTTTCTTAACAAGAGTATGATTTGGTTTGTAATACATTTAGGAGCTAAAAGTCTGTGTGTCTTCTGTCACTTGTGGACAATTTTTTCCGCTTTCAGATTGTCGACGTTATTGTTGGCAAAGACGAGAAAGGCAGAAAGATCCCAGAGTATCTAATCCATTTTAATGGTTGGAACAGAAGGTAAGTAGACTTGCTTGTTAATTAAGTAATCGTCTTTGAAACACGAGAACAAGGCACATTTTCTTCTTAGGCTTCAGAAGCACTTGGAGAAAAAGTTTCTTTCTTTTTGTTCACTTTGTTAAAGTGTTTTCCTGTTTGGAGAATGACTGTTTAAGTCCATTACATTTGCCGCCTCTTTTCTTTGGGGAAGACTCATTCTTTTCTGTTAATGAGTTCCTTTTTCCAGTTTATGCCCTATTTATGATTTTTAAATATTTTAATAAAAACATTATAGAATTTCAATGATTTAGAGACCCAGTGTTTCTCACAAGCATTTCCAGATCAAGTGAAAATACTAAAGCTTTGTATTCTCTCCCCCCCTTTTTTTATTCAATCAGCTGGGATAGGTGGGCACCTGAGGATCATGTGCTTGGAGACACGGATGAAAACCGTAGGTTGCAACGCAAATTGGCACGCAAAGCTGTAGCTCGCCTGTAAGAACTCAAGATTGATAGCACAATGCCTCTCAGTATTTAGAATTTAATGATGTCAGCATGGTTAGTTACATGTTAAGTAATTTAAACCTGAGATTGAAGAGTGTTCTTTTCAGTCCTCTTGCTGTATTTGAGGTGGTTATTTGTGTAATATTCTGCAGTGGAGATTGCTATTTATGTTCTAGAGCCTACCTTTTTTTCCCTAAGTGTTTGATAAGACTCATTGCTTATTTTATCTTGTATTTAATTCCAACACTTGTGCCAGTCAGTGTCAAAATTTATTTTAGGGGTGCTTATTTATATTTATTTTTTTCAACAGAAGGAAAGGGAACAAGAAGAAACACTGCAGGTTGCCTGGTGTCGACTCTGTTTTAAAAAGCCTTCCCGTTGAAGAAAAAGATGAAAATGCTGAAAATGGTGCGTAGCTTAACTTCTTTTCTTGGCTAAAACAAGTTTTCACTTGGTGTTTTTTTTCTTCTGAACAGGTGATGGGAGGGTATAATGAATGAAATTACAGGCAGGGAAACATTTTAAGCTGCTTATGTATAACATTTGTCTCTTGTTTTTTCACAGTGAAAGTAGCAATGAAATGATTATCTTGACATTTTGTTAGTGGTGAACTTCTCAACTAGCATCTTTTTTTGAGATGATGATTTGAGTGAAAGTTTACAGGGCAAATTAGCTTCCCATTCAACCACTGATACACAGTTTATGACATTAATTGCAATGCATACGACAGTTACATTCTTTCTGCTTTTTCCCTGTGGGTCTTGTTTTCATCCACCCCTTCGTGTTTTCTGAACTTTATCCCAGGACAAATGCTACCGTTTTGACTTTAAAACAATATAGTGAATGCTACCTCCTTGGTGTTCCTGATTACATTCTAGCTTGTCTCCTGTTTGGGTCAAGGTGGAGCCACAAGGATGAGTCCAGTTCCAGGCTCATAGGATGATTTAGGACCACAGTGTCAGGGTTCTACCACTCTGGAGCAGACTAGTATGCCTTGACCAGAATCCTTATACTAACGTCTCACAGGTACTTCCCATATTTTCTTCTTGGCACCCCCTGAACCTTCACCTCTCTTAGGAGAGAGTTAAATACATATTATTAAGTGAAAGAAGCCGACCTGAAAAGGCTAGATATAATGTTGTTGTTGTTGTTATGTGCCGTCGAGTCGTTTCCGACTCATAGCGACACTCATAGCGACCCTATGCACAACAGCCCTAAACCCTGCTCTATCCTGCGCCAACCGCACCGCCTCTGACACACCCATCCCGATTACCCCAGTCACCGAATCAATCCATCTCATAGAGGGTCTTCCCCTCCTGCGTTGTCCCTCAACCCTCCCAAGCATGATGTCCCTCCTGGCAACATGTCCAAAGTATGTCAGACGAAGCCCCAGAATCCTTGCCTCCAAGGAGTAGCTTGGTTTAATCCTCTCCAAGATAAATCTGTTTGTTTTCCTGGCAGTCCAGGGTACATTCAGTACCCTTCTCCAGCAGCACAGCTCAAAAGCATCCACTCTCCTTCTGTCCTCCCTAGTCATTGTCCAACTCTCTGATGCATAACAAGCGATTGCAAATACCATGGCCTGTATCAGGCGCACCTTAAGTCTCCAGAGAGACACTGTTGCTCCTGAGTACCTTAGAGAGGTCCCTAACAGCAGACTTTCCCATCGTGATACGCTTTTTGATTTCCTGACTGCTGGTGCCAAGAGGGTTGACTGTGGAGCCGAGCAAACTGAAGCTGTGAACACTCTCAATCTCTTCGTCATCCATCCTGATGCTACCAATTGGTCCAGTGGCGAGAATCTTTGTCTTCTTGACATTGAGCCTTAGTCCATACTGAAGGCTGCAGTCCTTGACCCTTCGCAGCAAGTGCATGAGGTCCTCCTCAGTTTCAGCAAGCAGGGTTGTGTCACCTGCATAACGGAGATTGTTAATAGACCTTCCACCAATCCTGATGCCACAATTCTCCTCATAGAGCCCAGCCTCTCGGATAATCTCCTCTGCATACATGTTGAAAAGGTATGGAGACAGGATGCATCCCTGGCGTACACCCTTCCCAATCTTGAACCATGCAGTGTTACCCTGCTCTGTTCTGACTACTGCCTCTTGGTCCAAGTATAGGTTTCGTATTAGCACAATTAAATGTTCTGGGATTCCCATTCTTCTCAGAGTCAGCCACAGTTTGTTATGATCCACACAGTCAAATGCCTTTGCATAATCAATGAAACACAGATAGACATTCTTCTGGTATTCTCTGCTTTCAGCCAAGATCCATCTAACATCAGCAACAATATCCCTAGTACCACGACTCCTTCTAAACCCAGCCTGGACTTCCGGCAGTTCTCTGCTGATGTGCTGTTCTAATCGTTTTTGGATGATCTTCAGTAGAATCTTGCTTGCATGTGAAATCAATGACACTGTTCTGTAGTTTCCACACTCAGTTGGGTCACCTTTCTTTGGAATGGGAACAAATATAGATCTTTTCCAGTCAGTTGGCCAAGTGGGTGTTCTCCAGATTTCTTGGCACAACTTGGTGAGCACATCCAGGGCAACATCTGTTATCTGAAATACTTCAATTGGTATACCATCTATTCCTGGGGCCTTCCTTATTTTTTGCTATTTCCTTCAAAGCAGCTTGAACTTCTTCCTTCATCACCATAGGCTCTTGCTCATATGTTATTTCTTTAAATTCCTCTGTATCTGCCAATTCCTTTCTATATAATGACTCAGTATATTCCTTCCATCTTCTTTTAATACTTCTTGGATCATTTAATATTCTGCCCAAATCATCCTTGATTACAGCAACTCTAGGTTTGAATCTGTTCTTTGAATGAAATGCTGAGCGAGTCCGGCCCTTTTGATTTTCTGACTCTAGCTCCTCGCACATTTCATTGTAGTATTTTGCTTTGTCATTCCGAGCAGCCTTTTGGAATCTTCTGTTCAGCTCTTTAGTATCTTGAATTCTTCCTTGTGCTTTGGCTTCTCTACGCTCCAGTGCAATCTTCAGAGTTTCTTCTGACATCCATTTTGGTCTTTTCTTCCTCTTCTGTCTTTGTAATGACCGTTTACACTCTTCCTGAATGATATCTTTGACATCCTCCCACAACTCATCTGGTCTTCGCTCATTAGTGTTCAAGGCCTCAAACCTGTTCCTGAGATGATTCTGAAATTCAGGTGGTATGAAATCAAAGTCATATTTTGGCTCCTGTGGACTTGGTTTATTTTCCTCAGCTTCAGCTTGAACTTGCATATGAGTAATTTGTGGTCTGTTCCACAATCAGCCCCCGGCCTAGTTTTCACAGCTGATATTGAGCTTCTCCAGCGGTTCCTTCCACAGATGTAGTCGATTTAGATATAATAGGATTCAATTATATGACCTTCTAGAAAAGGCAAAACTATAGAGAGGGTCAAAAGATCAGTGGTTTGGTTGGGAATCTATTTGTAGTGATTGTTACATAATGTGATTAATTATTTGACATCACCGAAATATACATGTAAAACATGTTGCGATGGAAAATATTACATATTTTTACAACAATGAAAAATGACTAAAAAAATCAGCCATGGGATCTCAATGAACCTCTGAAACTGTCGTGCTCAGATAATTTTCAAACCTACCAAGAATAGGCCCTGAAATCTTAAAAGCAGGCAACAGTCTAGCTTTACTAGCACAGTATGTCTGCCTTCAGCACCCACAGAACCCTAGTTGGCTAAACAGTTGGCTATCCCAAACTTAAACCAATTTTTCCACAGTCACTGAAAGGGATTTAGATTTTTAAAATTGAACTGTTGATTTATAAGGTGCAGTTCTGATGGCCCAGTAGCTAGAAACTGCATTGACATCCCAAAGGCACTTGGTTTGTGGTCCCCAGCGGCTCTGCATGAGAAGGATGGGCAGTCTCCTCCCATATGATTACTGCCTGGAAAACCATCTGGAGGGTCAGCTATGAGTCAGTTCTGACTGGTGCAAAACAATAATAATTTGTGCTTAGCATTTAAGACACACGTAAGACTGCAGTTCACTATCATTAGGAGGATGCCAGCTACTCCTGTCAAACTCAGAGTTAGTGAAGCCTCTACAGTCTGAGTTGTCTCATGCTTGATGCCTTTGTTTTCATCAGCAATAAGAAGTTCCTCTAAGGACAGCAGTGAGGAAACAGACAAGGAAATAAGTGAAGAAAGTGATACTATAGAAAAAACTGAAGAGGTAAGAAATTTTGATTGTAAAAATCCTTTCTGGTATGTTTTATTGTGTGGTCAAGTTCCCCACTTGTGAATTATTTTCTGAAAAGACTATGTTTTGCCAAGTACATATGCATTCCTTGCTTTTTTTGCACGTTGGGGGGGCTATGTTCTCAGCTGTGGTAGCCTTGCCTTTTTTCCTGACAGTGTATGCTCACATTGTGTCTCTGTCACATCTTGATAATTTTTACAATACTCCATGATCTTTCAAAATAACTTAATAGACTATACAGTAGAGTTTAAAGCATAACTTTTATTTACACTGGGAAATGAAAAAATTTTTGTGGCTCTGTGCCTTACTTTATTCTTGGTAATTAGCGTTATTAGGATAGTTTGCTTTATTGTGTTGGTCTGGAAGGGAACCCATAATATCTCCCAGGTATGCCTGTATAAATGTTACTTGTCCTTCAGAGAAAAGCAGCCCTTATTTATTGTCACCCTAGGAGTCTTTCAGTGACCATTTGTTCCCTTAAAGTGATCTCACAAATTATAAAGTTAGCTCTTTCTGAAGAAATTGCGAGCTTTATTGTTATATTGATGATTATTTTTTTAAATGTAGTGTACTTTTAAATGGAAATGTGGTTTGATAGGTATCTTCTGCTTGCCTCCAAAGTTCACACAAGCCACATTTTTAAGCTTAAATATGGAAGAAAAGCAATAAAGGAAGAAAACCAATATACTACTAAAGTGCCATGAAATCTATTTTTGGTTTTTCGTGTGCTGGACCACATGGCACCATTTGTTTTACTGTGCTGAGACTTGCCTTGTGTCGAAGGGGGCTCACATGTGTTAGTACTTGCTGGGTATAGATGCTCTGTTCTTGTTAGGTGCCACTGAGGTCGAGTATGACTCATATCTGAACCCTGGCCTATCTTATGCCATCCATTTGATCCCTGACGTCCTTAAAGCCATTGCTGCAGTCACTGTGTCAATTCATCTGGTTGAGGGTCTTCTTTGCTGTCTGTCCACCATCTCAAGCATGATGCCCCTCTCCAAGGAATAGCCTTTCCTAGCAACATGCCATGGCTTTTAAAAATTGTTCAACAAGGATTTGCGGTATTTCAGAAAAAGAAACCAGAGCTTCACACAAGAAAGGAGATGGAAGAAAGGACGATAAGTATAGAAATCCCTGAAGTTCTGAAGAAGAAACTGGAGGACGATTGCTACTATATTAACAGGAGGAAGCGGGTATGTTAAGATAGCACAGGGAAATATGGCGTTTGTCTTTTAGACATAATTTGCAACCAGACTTAAAAACCACTGAGATGCTTTGAAGGGTGAACTGTCTTTGGTTTTGTGCTGAGGCCAGTTATCAAGTCCTGTCAGTGGTACTGTTGCTGCTATGGAAGGCGACTTTATCTCTTCACTGCCTGTGCTGTCCTTTCTCACATTGTGATGTTTGGACTCTTAATGAAGAGGATCTGATTAAGAGATCTGTAGGGGGGTCAGCTCTGGGTATGTTTTAGAAATTCCTTGTATTCTAGGCGGGTGTTAAGATTGAGAAAGACTGCTTTTATTTCTGTAGGCCATGAAGGCTGGAATCAGTGTAAAGATCGAATCAGTTACTCATTACCATCTAGTCAGAACTGACTCATAGCTGATCCTCTAGTGAGTTTTCAGAGGCTAGAAATTGTATGTGAGACTGCCCATATTTTTCACATATAGCAACTGGTGGATTCGACCCACTTGCCTTTGGCTTGGCAGTGCAACTCTTTACTGACTAGAACACCAGAGCTCCCACAGCTGACTTTCCAGTGGGTTTTCAGAGGCTCTAAATTACACGAGAGGAGATGCCTATATTTCTGAGGAGCAGCTGGTGGATTTGAACTGCCTGCCTTTGGGTCGATAAAACAACACCTTGTCTTTTAGGCTGCCAGAGCTCAGTAGAAAGAAAAAAAAAATCAAAGTGGATCAAACCATCTCTCTCTCTCTCTCCCCCCCCCCCAACTATCTCTATCTTTAAGAGGTTCTGTTTGAATTTTCAGAGGACTCCTAGTGGCATAGTGGTTAAGTGCTCGATGGCTAATGCAAGGTTGGTGTCTGGAACCCTTCAGCCACTCTTAGGGAGAAAGAGGAAACAGTCTGCTTCTGTAAAGACTTAAGCTCTCCCTGTGGGCCCCCAATGGGCAGTTCTATTATGCTGTACAGAGTCAGTAGGAGTCAAAACTAACTGCAGTGTGATTTTCAGGTTAACTGAAAACAATGGGCTGGGTTTCTTTTAAACTTTCAAAAGCAGTGTAGATGTGACCCTTTTATCTTGGAATGGCTCATATGATAAAATGTGTACATCAGGTATCTGTGTTCTGTTTGCAGCTGGTGAAACTTCCATGCCAGACCAACATCATAACAATTTTGGAATCCTATGTAAAGCATTTCGCTATCAATGCAGCTTTTTCAGCCAATGAAAGACCTCGTCACCATCACATGATACCCCACGCCAACGTGAATGCACATTACATCCCAGCAGAAAAGAAGTGAGTGTGGGGCATTTTGTGCTCTTTTCCTTGTGTCTTAGAGCAGTGACTGTGGTTTGATTAGGTGGCACTTTGTTTCGTTTCAGTTGTTTTGTGTTACTTTCATCTTTTTGCTTTTAAGTTCGAAGAATGGAGGGGTAAAAATGAGAACTAACCTGCAAGAGACTGAGTGGGTGAAATTGAGACTCCCAGCCAGAGACAGAGATCATTTGCCCACATCCACTGAGCCAGCACTCAAGGCCAAGTGTAACCTATCTAGTTGAGAGACAACTGACCACCACCGTCAGGACCTTTTCCTTTTATAATTACCACACTGTGGACAATGCTCAACAGTTACAACACTACTAGCTAAAAATGGCCCACAGGCCTGCAGCCAGATCAGAATAGAAAAATGTCCCATTCTCTTTGCAACCTTCTCATCCTTATTTATGCACTTATGCCTATGTTCTGGTTTTACACACTATATTTCAAAGCCCCAGAAAGCTAGAACCTGTATAAGGCAGAAACTTAACCTAACAAGGAAAACTCAGATGGCTTCCATTAAAAGGAACAGTTAGAGATGTGATAAGACTTCACACTATCAAAGACAAAAAATTTACCACACCCTGAAAAACCGGATAGTCCTACTGAATTCCAGCTCTCAGTATTTTCACTCTAATGAAAGACAGAATGCTAGTTTATGTTCAATTAGTATCATGTGCTGCTTGCTTTTTCTAGTGAAATTCCGGGTTTTTTTTCCTTCAACCAGCAGCTGATATTTGCAGCCTGGGGGGATAGTCCTGCATGCTTTTTTCCACACAGTCACTTAGAGGCAGACCTGAAAGATACTGTCCCTGACCACCCAAACAGCCTGTCACATTCCAGCGAGTCCCATGGACTTGGGCCTTACCCTGAGCACAGTGAAGTTATGTTTACTAGCTTGTATTCTCATCAGTATGCAGCAACAGTAGAGAAAAAGAATTTGAAACAATTTGAGTTTTCAGAATATGCCTGAGATGGAAGTGAGCAGCATATCCTGTTGGTAAACATAGCAGGAGGCTGGCTTGACACAGGGTTCTTACAAACTTTACATTTGCAAAAAAACACAGTGTAAAGTATAGTAAGAGAAAGTATGCCTGCAATTAGGTACAAAGATGGTGGGTTTCTCAGCCTAAAAAAAAAAATGTACAAAGTATCATTTATACTATATTGTTTCCAGCTTAGATTACTTCTCAGAGCAGTTATTTTGGTGGTTGTTAGGATACTTCTTGGTTTAGTTTGTTATTGTTAGGTGCTGTCAGTCAAGTTTGACACTTGGCGATCCTGTGAACAACAGATCTGAACCCTACACTGTACTGTGCCATCCTTATTTCTGACATAGGAGCCTATTGCTGCAGTCCTTGTGTCAGTCTGTCTCGTTGAGGCTCTTCCTCTCTTTCCCTAACCTTCATCTCTCCAAGCAGGGAGTAAACTCTAACCTAAGGCCAAGTTATCTCCTATTTCTGTCACTGAGTTGCTTGGGCAGTCATTAGTGTGCTGTCTATGACTGCATCTGCCACTTGAGGGCAGAGTTGAGTAGTTGTGTGAGAGACTATAGTCTGTCTGCAAAGTGGAGAATGTTTCCTACCTGGTCCTTTGCAGACAAAATTTCCTAAGCTTTGATTTAGTCTGCCTTTCGCTGTAGGAAGCCGTAAGATTGGCAGAAATGGGTGTGACCTCTCATGGGCCAGAGACCACTCACTAATTCTCTCACTTCCTCTGAGTTCTCAGGCTATAATCACACAGGGAGACTGCCCATCTTTGTCCTGGAGAGCTGCTGGGGGATTTGAACCTCCAGAGGTGCAGGTTCTGAGCATTCAGTATAGCTCACTATATGACTCATGCCACCAAGACTCCATGTTCTAAATTAAAAATGCAGTGCTGGGTTTCTGGTTCCCTAAAGCCCAGGGCAAATTCTGTTGTCACAATTTTCCCTTTTTATATAGGGCAGTGTCTGCCTCCCATGTAATTAACTGCCTCTGAGAATTTGCTGGAGTGTCAGTTATGGGTCGGTTCTGGCTCAACAGCAAACAATAACAACATGTTGACTGGCTTTTCCTAGTATAGTATCCATGTTTTCTTCTTTTATTACTCTTGTTCTTCTTTTTAAAAATATTAAGTCATTTGAATCATTAATTCATTAAGAACTTACTTTCATATGTGAGAGTTAGGAATCTAGTTTGTTTTTATTTTTAAAAATGTTTATATTTACAAAAAAATTCGTAATATGTATGTTTCACACTGCCCTTCATTTATATTGTGTTTCGTACAGTTATTGCCATTCGTTGTGTTTTGTAAGGAATCTAGCTTTACGGTTTGAGTTTTTTTTTTATGCCACCCAAACCCAACCCACTGCTTTGAAGTTATTTCCACCTACAGTGACCCTTCATCAGATTTCCAGGGAAAAGGAGTGAATAGTGATGGAGACGGCCTGTCTCTCAAGGAGCTGCAGGTGTGCTTGAACTGCCACCCTTTAAGTTAGCAGTCCAACACATAATGCACCAAACCTCAGGCTGTCTTCTCTATAGATGTTATTGTTGTTAGGGGCCACTGATTTGAACACCACCATGGGGACCCTATGAAGAAAACATCTGAATCTTGTCCTATGCTGTGCCATCCTCACAATCTCGGATGTGCTGGCACCCAATATTACGGTCACTCTGTCAGCCCATCTTGTTGAGGGTCTTCCTCTGACCAGGATTTGTAATTTTGTGAATGAACTTTCTTGAAAACCACACATGACCATTTTCCATTTAATTAAAATGACTCCATTTCCATATTAAAGTCACAAGACTCCTTGAGGTCTTTTCATATGCTGAGTGTTGTCTTTATAGTTGTACTGATTTATTTGAATACCGTTTTGAATACGTCCTTTCTTTTGTTGTCGATTGCCTTCAAGTCGAGCACGACTCATAGTGACCCCACGAACAAAGGCCTGAAGCACCTCTACAGCTTCCTTTCCAGGAACTTTTATTAATACTTGCTAAGGAGGCCTAGGAGCCCAAGAGGCACTAGTGGATTGAGTTAGGGGCTGCTAACTGAAAGGCAGACTCTGTGGGAGAGAGAAGGAAGCACCCCTCTGCCTCTGTGACAACAGGCTGGGAAACCCTGCGGGGTAGCTGTGCTCCGTCCTGGAGGGTTGACTTGGGTCACAGCCAACTAGGTGACAGTGGGTTTGGTCAGCAGTTTGCTTTTTTGGTTAAGAAACAACATCCCTCATTCTTTATGATTTACTTGCCTTTCTTTGACCCTTTGCTCTTCCTTATGATCGCTAAGATAATTGTGCCCATTTATCTTCTTAAACCTCATCAAGATTCTAATTGAACTCATATAAACATATGCATTGATTTTGCGGGTGGCTTGTGCTCATGGAATGCCTTCCCGTCTAAGATGTGGCTTGCCTTCCATTATGTTGAAGGCTTGATTTATGTCCCTCAGTTGGGTCTTTTAGGTTTTTCTCCCCCAAGTTAGGCATTGTCTTTCTGACTGAATTTATGCTTCAGCAATTTCCTCCCTCAGGTGTAATGGATTTTTGCTAATGGTCCAGCTCTCTCCTGTCTGTGTAACCACTTAAGTGTGTTTTTGAGATGGCTTCCAGTGTTAAGGTTATTCTTTCAGACTTTAGAAGAAAGCCTGTAGTCTTGACCTTGTTGATATCCTGCTACCTGAGGAAGAATGCATTTCCACTTACTCAGTTAACGTCAGTTGCCCTCTCTGCTGGGTCTGAAAGATAAAATTGGACCATCGTACAAATTTTCAAAACATTGTCACTCTTTTAAAAATATTTACATATTTTAGAAATAGGAACTATTTAGATAGCTGATCCGAATGCACCGGGTGTGCTGTGCCTTGGCCCTGCCTGGATCTCATGTAGGGCTATTGCTCCCCCTCAGAAGCATCAAAAGGGCCTTGAGACTTGTAGCAAAGCTTGTTTTATAAGTAGCTGTTGATTGCAGTCAGAGGACTCTTCCCAGTGGGCTGCCTTGCTCGTGTGACCCACGTGAGAATCAGAAAAGGTGGTTGTTAGAGTGGAAGGAAGGGTCAGGACTCCATCGAGCTCGCCAGCCGTCAGCTGTCAGGGGTTGGAGGGTTTCTGCCATCGGCAGCACACCTGCATGGACCCCCATGGGCATGAAATGCATTTATGTGGGTCAAGTGTTCAAAATGAAAAGGACCAGTGCACTCTGTACCTGCTCAGTGTATGCTGTTAGCGCAATTCTTCCTTAGTAGCATCTGTAAATCCTGTTCACGATGCGTGGGCGCCATGCTAATATGTAGTGTGTTTAGGTTTCGACCTGTGCCCTACTGAAGTGTGCCATTTCATAGTAGTTTTGGAACATAGGTATCCATGACAGTACTGTACTTAACATTTTTCCCCTTGCCCCTCCTTCCTTGCAGCGTGGACCTTTGTAAGGAGATGGTTGATGGATTACGAATAACCTTTGATTACACACTCCCACTGGTCTTGCTCTATCCATATGAGCAAGCGCAGTATAAGAAGGTGACGTCATCCAAGTTTTTCCTTCCTATTAAGGAAAGTGCCACAAGCACCAGCAGGTAAGTTACTCTGAACATTGCACATCAAACTTCAGCAGTCAAGTGCTGAGCTGTGTCTTGAAGACGTCAGCCTGCTGCTAGGGAGCCAGCATGTCCGGAACATGCTGAAAAGTTCTGGGGCTGGGGACTGCTGCTTCCTGGTCAGCGAAGGTATCCTTCATGGAGGACTCGAAGTGCTTGCTACAGAAGATAAAAGACTGAAGCCTTCAATATGGGTTATATTTCAGCATCAGGAAAAATGAACATCCTCACCATTGGGCCAATAGGCAGCATCGTGATAGATGGAGAAAAGATGGACGTTGTCAGTGATTTCATCTTACTTGGTTCCACAATTAGTAACCTTGATTCTAACAGTCAGGAAATCAAGAGTATCACACTGGGAAAACCTGCTGTCAGGGACCTCTCCAAAGTGCTGAAGGGCTGTATTTGTTTGAAGACTAAGGCTCACCTGATCCAAACCACGGTTGTTTGAATCACTTGCTGTTATCCACCCGAGAGTTGGACGGTGAATAAAGATGAAAGAATAGATGCCTCTGAATTGTAGTGCTAGAGAAGGGCACTAAATAGCCCATGAATTGCCAAAAGAGTGAACAGATATGTCTTGGAGAGAGTGCAGCCTGCGTGCTCTTTGGAAGCAAGGATGGTGCAGCTTCATCTCACTTACTCTGAGTATGTTGTGAGGAGGGGCCAGTCCTTGGAGAAGGACATCATGCTGGGAAAGGTGGAGGGGCAGTGTAGGAGAGGAAGACCCTCGATGAGGTAGGTGATACGGTGACGGACAATGGGGTTGACTCTGTCAGAGACGGTGAGGATGGCACGGGAAAGGGCCAGATTCAGGTCTGCTCTTCATAAAGTTGCTAAGAGTCGCAGGCACCTCGATGGTCCATAACATGCTCATACTGTTTGCCCAGATCTATCTTTCTCTCTCTTTTTCTGTCTCTATCTCTCTGTCTCTTTCAACATGTTGTTGCACACTTTTAAATTGAGACTGTGCTTAGAAACCCTTAGAAACACATTTATAGCCGTCATTTGCAGCAATGTGTTAAACCTTCTTTTGGTGATTTAAGTGAAATTGTACAGAGCAGATCAGTTTTCTATTTAAAATCCTAACACATTTTGTTTCATGGCTTTGCTTGTATTCTCTACAGTGTGACAGTCCACTTCCCACTTCCTTCTTGTGTTTTCATTCTTCCTTCATTCCTGCCCCCTTCCTGCCTTCTGAACTGTCTCTCTGGCCCAGTGCTGCCATTATGATTCCTTCCGCATGTTAATGATCACCTTACAGGCTTGCCAGTTGTTTGGCTGGAATTGATTGTCAGGGGTGAGTGTGCAGGTCCCCAGGGAAATGACTCAGGCCATGGTCCTTAGGGCTCCTTTAAGCTCTGTCAGAGGAACAAGCCTAATCTGTTCAATTGTGGGTTTTGTTTCACACTTTTCTCTCACTCTGTCAGTGATCTCTGGTTGTGATCCTCTTCAGAGTGGTCAGCACTTGTCTCCAGGCACCGTCTCGGCTTTCCTTTTCTTCTTTCTTTGCTTTAGGCAGGGAGAGACTCATGTTTGTACCTTACAGGCATCCTATGCTTTCCCCCTGGGCTGGTTCCAGCATAGTGAGTCAGATAACTGCTGCTGTCTCCATCTTTCAGAAGGGATGGGATGCAGAAAGGTGGGAAGTTTAGGCTGGATTTAGCTCCCTCACTCATCAATGGTGTGGCTCGGGGGAGGTCCTTCTAAATTGCTTGCTTCCGCATGTACGCAATGCAATAATGCGTGTCTGCCTCAAGTGGCAAAAGTTATGAAATGAGCCTTTTCATAAATGGCTGGTTACAGTTGGCCTTCAGTTAAGGTTACTTCCCTTTACCCCGCCCTCTGTCACATCCCTCTTCCCTTAAGCAAGAATGTTTAGAACTACTAGTCTTGAAAAACCAAAATCCCGAGTGTCAGTCTTATGCAAACTACTGCTCGGTCTGCCTCCTTCCTGTCTTTCTGTAAATACAGTGTGTGCAGCTTCATTCTGGCTTGACTCCTTAACCCACGTTGTCTCTGCAGAGGCACAAGTGCCCTCCTCCTTGCTGTGCACAGACATCCTCGCTCTGGTCTCCTTGCCTTTAGAGCTCCAGCTCCCTAGCTCTCTCTGCCCTGCCACCATCCCTTCCACCTGCCACGACTGCCTTCTCATGCTCCTTCTGCCTCACACTTGGGTTCCAGCCCTGGTCCCGGGCTTGTGAGGATGATGTCCACACATCCTGCCCCAAACCTTGAGAGCCAGACTGTCCAGGGTGGGTGCTGTGTTTCCACAGTTCTTGTGCCACTTGGAGTTGCTGATTCATGGTCTTTAATACCAGCATACCTCTCTGAGAAAATGAAGGTATCCAATACAGCTACTCTTTTGGAGAAAATATTTGTTTGACTTGTACTCGAAAGGAGGCAGAATCATTCTTGGAGTTAGGAGTTTATTGATGTCTCTGTCTTAGGAGAGCCAGATGAGACCACTTCTGTGTTCTGGAAGAATTCTGTGGGGTGTGATCATGTGTGAACACTCTCCCCTCTTCTCCACAGGAACCAGGAGGAGCTCTCGCCCAGCCCGCCCTTGCTGAACCCGTCCACTCCTCAGTCCACCGAAAGCCAGCCTACCACCGGTGAGGTGTCTACGCCCAAGAGGCGCAAAGCCGAGCCAGAAGCCTTGCAGTCTCTGAGGCGCTCCACACGCCACAGCTCCAACTGTGACAGGCTGTCTGAGAGTAGTGCGTCCCCTCAGCCCAAGCGCCGGGCCCAGGACACGTCTGCCAGCATGCCCAAGCTCTTCCTGCACCTGGAAAAGAGTAGGTCCACTCCTCAGGGCGGGGAGAGCCTGGCAGGAAGGGCCAACATTCCTTTTGTGTCAGGTGCCCAGACAAATGCATGTTGTACGTGTACAATATGGTGATTCTAATGACATGTTGGAAGTGCTGTCATGTTCCCACTTTCCAGAGGAGAAAACTGAGGCAAAGCAAGATGAAGGGACTAGCAAGAGTGCACAGTGAAGTGGTAGGTCCAGGACTGGACCCTATTCTGAGCTTTTGATTTTTACCACTGAACTCCATCCCTTGTTTTGAGCAAATTTAATTACTCTGGTGGTGGTGTGGTATGTGCTGTCAAATTGGAACCGACTCATGGCTGACCGACCCAACCCTCAAGCGGGTTTTCAGAGGCAGTAAATCTCTTGGGAGGAGATTGTCCATCCTCCTAAGGAACAAGCTAGTGGACTCAAACCGCATGCCTTTGGAACTGCAATACAGTTTGTTACCACGCAGCTACCAGAGCTCCCTCAGGTAATTCAGAATGAGCCATTCTCCTGGGTTCTTTTGTGTTTCATGTCTCTTGGTTTTCTTTCCATTCTAAATGTGAATTTTGAAGGTCCTATTCTGAAATAAAGCAAGAGTGATTAGATTTGTATTGCCTTAAAGAACTTTGGTGGCAGAGTCAGCAGATTTCTATCGCCTTGAGGAACTCTGGTGGCACAGTGCATTAAGTGCTGGGCTGCTACCTGAAAGGCAGGCAGTCTGGACCCACCAACCACTTCTGGGGAGAAAGATGATGTAGTCTGCTCCTGTAAAACAGAACAATTGCAGAATGTGGTGGGGCACATCCAAGAGTCAGGGTCAGCTTAAAGGGGGGGGGGTTCTTAATGTGTACCAGCCCTAACCAGAACACCAGCCCCGACCACAACACCAGCCCCAACCAGAACACCATTTGATCTGCTTGCCTTCACTTGAAGCTGAAATTTAAGTAGAATAGATTATACAGACACTTCCTTTTTTTCCCCTAAAATACACTTAAAATTAGTTTGCTACAGTATCAAGCTTAAAACCACTGATAGTTATTTAGAAGTGTTTTTAAAAGCTTAGTGGAAGGAGCTCTGGTGGTCTAGTGAGTAAGAAGTTGCATTCCTAACCCATAAATGACACTTCTCTGGCAGTTAAGAGTCCATTAGCCACCCTGAAGGAAAAAGATAGGGAATCTTTATCTCCTGCAATTTACAGCCTCTGGAAAAGCAGGATTATCGGAGCAGGTTCTGACTAGGCAGCAAGGAATGAATGGACTGTTTCTCGACTTCCAGAGAGTGTTATTGTGGCTTTAGGATTAAGTTGGATACATTATCTCGTCTCTCCAGAAGCTTTTATAAGCTATGAGGAAAGAAAACTGTCAGAGTGCTTAGAGGTCAGTTTAGCATACTGACTGATGGGCTGGAGTGGAGGTTGACCAGCGTTCTGGAAAGGATCCCCTCCTTAAATATTGAATGGATTGTGACTCAAGAGTTACCTGTAGGACAGAGTAAAAACACCCCCGTGGTTTCTGAGGTGGTCAGTCTTTATAGAAGGATATACCACATCCTTCTGTAGAGCAGATGATGAGTTTGAACCATCAAGCTTTTGGTTATAGTACTTAAGCACTGTGCCAGCAGGGCCCCTGTTGTCAAGGTCCAGGTAGCACATGTTTTTGAGCTCGCAGGGCACCCGATCTCCGGAGCAGCCCCTCAGCTCTGCCCCTGTTGTTGTTCACAGGCAGCTGCTGACCGTGCAGAGGGTGGTGACTGTGCTTGTGTTCCAGCCAAGCTGCCTTTACAGAAACCAGGCCGCGGACTCGCTGTGGCCCACCCTCCCTCGTTCGCCAAGCCTGGGCTGGGGCAGAATGCATGACTTTGGGACTGAGTGATGGTTAGCAGCTAAGGCAATTCCAGCAAGCAGAGTTTGCAAGATGACTTAGATGAGAAGGGTCTAGGCTTGGGAATGCAGAGTAGACTCAGGAAGGGCAGGGCAGCTTGGAGAGGCTGATCATGTACCACTAAGCATGTTTCATGTGCACACACGCAGGAGATGGTTGTTGTGCTAGAGGAACAGTGGGGGGAAGGTGATGTTTCCAGAAGATGAACCCACTCACTGGCTTGAAGGAGTGTTTGGGCTTGGTCTTTACTCATTTCCAGATCCTCCCACTCTGTCATTTGCACCTCCTCAGCAGCACGTGGGAGCGTCTGCAGTTGTTTTGACATACAGATGCTGTGGGGCAATGTGAGGTCCCCACCATTGGCTAGACCAGAGCTTGGATGTGACAGTGATGAGCTGTCATCAGGGCCTGTATTGGAGTGTCGCTTCAGTGCCGAGGGCGCTTTACATGCCATGAGGCCTCGTGAGGCACACACAGCAGTTCTGTGTGGTAGAGGAGGGGTCCCTGATTTCTCTTGTGCTTGAGTACCTTGCCCAAGGTGTCCCATGTGAGCAGGGTTGAGGCCTCGGGCAGTCTGCCTGCAGAGTCCATCTCATGCTGCTTTCAGAGCCTTAATATCCTTGATGCAAAGTTAGACTTGAGTCTCCTAAGGGGAGTGAGGACACTGGCTTTTCCTAAGACTTTCTTCAAAGCCCCTGTGGGTCAGCTCTGCTGCCTTGCCTGCACAAGTAGTGAGCTGGGTTGAGGCCAGAAAGGGTGAATGGGCTGGTGGGCTGGGCAAGCAGGGTTCTAAACTGGGGGAGTCAGGGCTTGCAGGATTCTCATTGTGAGGGCCAAAGGAAGTGTCAGAGACGTTCCAGGTGGGAACCTGTCCCCTGGCCTAGAGAGAGGAACACTGTTGTGACTTTGTTTGAAGGGTGGCTTCTATAAATACTGAGTCTGCTGTTGATAAGTGTCTCCATGCCTCGTAGACATTTCTTGGAATGTGAAACCCCTGATGTCGGGATGTGGGGTCTGGCTAACAATCTTCCAGGGCTAATTCATTCCTTTAAAGCTCCTCATGGTTGTAAGTTACCAAAGTAATTAGTGTTAATTTTAAGGAGAGAAATTTTATACATTCCTGAGCCTTAAAATCCATTTATGCTAAAACAATAAATCACTGAGAAGCTATTATTCGCTCTCAACACATACATTAACTACGCTTTTCCTCAAGTTAATAAAAATAGGGCTCTTCCACCTACACAGTAAGTTCCGTATTTGTGTAGAAACATGGTAAATCCTTTCCCTGAAGTAGTCTAAAACTAATGAAATGTAGCTGTTTTGCCCATACATCTTTAAACTGTTTAAACTTGAGATTCTCTTTACATTTACAATTTTGTTCACATATAAAGTGTGGTTTGTAGAATGCCACCTTTTAATGCCAAAAGCAAAAATCTCTGCAGGGTTGATGCTAGCTTACTGATGCTGTCACTCAGCTGCTGTCCACTTGGGAAGGGATGGGCTCTGGAGTGGGTAGTGGGACTCTGAACTGCTAACTCCATGGACCCTGCTAGAAGCCCCTAAGGTCCAGTTTGACTGGTCACTTAGAGGGAGCTTGCTTTAAGGGACTGGTCCTTAAAGATTGCAACTTGGGAAAACTTAGGGGGCAGTCAGTTCTCCTCTGCCCTCTGGGGTCACTATAGGCCAGAACTGACTTGATGGCAGTTAGGTTTGAGTTTTCAGGTTTGGCTTATCTCACATGGCTTGGAGACTAAGTGAAAAAATTTCAAATTCATAGGCCCATCCATGAAGAAAGCAAAAGATCATTACCGACAGAAGAGGCAGAAAAGATAAAAATGGATGTCAGAAGAGATTCTGCATTTAAGAAGCCAAATCAAAGAGAAGTGATGCTGAAGTCAGAGAGATAAACAGAAGATTTCAAAGGGTAGCTTGAGAAGACAAGGCAAAATATAGCAGAAAGTGCAAAAATCTGGAATTTGCTCAGGATTTCTATAGTCGAAAGAACTGGGGGGAAAAAATTCAAGCCATGAGCTGCAATACTGAGAGATACAAAGGGACACTGTATCAAAAAGAACTGGTTGACACTGAAATATTTCCAGAAGTAGCATATGAACAAGAGCTGATGTTAATGAAGGAAGCAATTCAAGCTGTACTGTAGGCACTGACAAATATGGCTCCAGGAATCAATGGAGTTAGGCATATTTGTTGGCGTTGGCTTATGCACACAGAATCACGTTTTCGGTTGCCTTTGCATATGTGTACATATGCCCTTATGTTCGAATATGCTTATGAACGCATTTGTTCATGTGCGCCTGTATGTATGGGTTGGCCTTGAGTTGGCTTATTCATTCGCAATGCCGTAAGTGCATTTTTATTGGCCTTTGGATAAGACCACATGTGCTCTCTTGTTTGTATAGGCATATGCGTTCATTTTTGCATGTGCATATGCAGTTCTGTATGTGTTCGACTGCACAATTGATATGTTTCAATTAATAGATGCAGCCCTGGACGTGCTCACCAGTCTGTGCCAGGACATTTGGAAGATAGCTGCTTGGCCAATGTACTGAAGAGATCCATATTCCCATTCCTAAGAAAGGGGGATCCAACAGATTGTGGAAATTATGAAACAATATCATTAATATTGTATGCAAGCAAAATGCTGCTAAACATCATCCAAAAACAGCTAGAATAGTATATTGAAAGAACTGCCAGAAGTTCTACCTGCGTTTAGAAGAGACCACGGCACCAGGGATATCACTGTTCATGTTAGATGAATCCTGGATGAAAGCAGAGAATACCAGAAGAATGTCTATATGTGCCTTATTGATTTTGCAAAGGCATTTGACTGTGTGAAATAGAACAAATTATGGCTCACATTGAGAAGAATGGGAATCCCAGAACACTTAATTAGGCTTATACAAAACCTGTATCTAGACCAAGAAGCTGTTGCCCAAACAGAGTTTGGGGACACTGTATGGTTTAAAATTAGGAAAGTTCTATGTCCTGGTAGTATCTTCAAGCTGTATGCTGAACAAATCATTTGAGAAACTAAGCTGTATGAAGAAAAATGTGGCATCAGGATAACCTTCATCATGCAGATGACACAACCTTGCTAGCTGAAAGTGAAGAGGACTTGAAACATTTGCTGCAGAAGATAAAGACTACAGTCTTCAATACGGATTACATTTCAACAGCAAGAAAACAAAAATCTTCACCACTGGACAGATTGGCAATATCATGATAGATGGAGAAAAGATTGAAACTGTCTATGACTTAATCCTCCTTGTATCCTTGATACCAGAAGTCAGGAAATCAGGAGGTACTGGGCAATTTTGTTGTCAGGGTCCTCTCCAAAGTACTGAGGAGCAAAGATGCTAGTTTGAGGACTAAGGTGTGCCTGATTCAGGCAGTAGTCTTTTCAGTCACTTGCTATGCATCTGAGAGCCAGACAATGAATAAGGATGACAGAGGAATAATTGATGCCTTTGAATAGTGATGTCGGAGAAGAGTATTGAATGTTCCATGGACTGGCCAAAGAACAGATTGTTGTTGTTGTTGTTATGTGCCGTCAAGTTGCTTGTGAAAAGTACATCCAGAATATTCCTTGGAAAGGATGGTGAAGTTTCTTGTCATATACTTTTGAGCATGTTGCTAGGAGAAGCTGTTCCTTGGAGAGTGACAGCATGCTTGGGAAGGTGGAGGAGAAGACCCTCAATGAGATTGGATTGACACAGGACTGCAGCAGTGGGCTCAAGTGTACCCAAGATGATGAGGATGCAATGGGAAATGAACAGGGTGTTGTTCTTAGGGTAACTATGACTTGTACTCGACTCAGCAGCACCTAACAACAAGAGGTTCATCTTACTAAGTACGGACGATGCCACATCCTAAGAAGAATACTCCCCAGGCGCAATTCTTGGGCCTGAGCAAGTATGTCTAAACTGGGACAGAAGTCCATCCTGCTGCTACTTTGCCTTTCCGACCTGGCTAACCTTTTCTGGACCCCTCCTGACAGTGGCATTGACAATGAATTGCCAGAAAGGTGCAGTCTTTGGGTTACCAATTCAACTCCCTATAGACTAGGCCATAAGATTCGGGGTTCCCCTCCCAGTCTTACCAGATCCACAGAAAATGCACTCATTTAAAGTGTACAATTCAGTGGTTTACATTATCGTCAGTGAATTGTTATCACCAGCATCATAATCCCAGACCATTTTCATTACTTCCTCTCCGAAAGAAACCCTATGACCATTAGCTTCTCTTTCTTCCCTTCTCCTGGCCCTGTTGTTGTTGTGTACCGTTGAGTCAGAGCTGACCCATAGCTGACCCTCCAGTGGGTATACTGCATGGGAGGAGATTGCCCATCCTTCTCCTGCATAGTAGCTAGTGCATTCAAACCATGTGCCTTTGGAATTGCAGCACTAGCCACCAGCCCTCTTCTGGTCCTAGACAACTACAAATCTGCTTTCTGTTTGTAAGGGTTTCTCTCTTTTGAACATTGCCTATAAACAGAATCATAATTTGTGATCTTTTGCATCTGGCTACTTTCACACAGTATAATGTTTCAATATTTACCCACATCAAAGTCTTTATCAAGACTTCTCTTGTTTTTGCAAACAAAATTCCAGGTTCTGTCTTTAATAATGTTGTTACGTGCCATTGAGTCACCTGTGACTCACAGTGACCCTATCTACAAGTCTGAAGGCTGCCCTATCCTGAGTCAGTCTTACTGACTCCAGTACACCTAATTCTATTACCCAGTCTCTGTGTCAGTCCATCTCATCTAGGGTTTTCCTCTCCTGCGCTGTCCCTTTATCCTTCCGAGCATGATGTTCTTTTCCAAGGACCAGTCCCTCCTGGCCACGATCCCAAAGTATGTGAGCTGGAGCTTCAAAATCCTAGCCTCTTAAGGAGAAACTTAGTTTCACCATCTCCAAGACAGACCTGTTTGTTTTCTTGGCGGTCTATGGTATGTTCAAGATTCTTTTCCAGCAGCACAACTCAGACATCGATTCTTCTTCTGTCATCCTTAGTCATTATCCAACTCTCAGATGCATAGCAAGTAATTGAAAAGACCACGGCGTAGATCAGGCGCACCTTAGTCTCTAGCCTGACATTATTGCTTCTCAGTACTCTGGAGAGGTCCCTGATAGCAGATTTCCCCACTGCAATTCGCCTTTTTATTTCCTGACTGTTAGTTAACAAGAGTGTTGATTGTGGAGCCGAGCAAGCTGAAAATGTTAACACCCTCAGTCGCCTCTCCATCTGTCATGGTGCTGCCGGTTGGCCCAGTGGTGAGAATCTTTGTTTTCTTGATGTTGAGGTTCAATCCACATTGAAGACTATAGCTCTTGACCTGCAGCTAGTGCTTCAGGTCCTCCTTAGTTTCAGAAAGCAGGGTTGTGTCATCAGTTTAATGCAAGTTGTTGATGAGTCTTCCTCCAATCCTGATGCCACATTCCTCCTCATCAAGCCCAGCCTCCCGAATGATCTGTTTTGCATATAGATGGAAAAGGAAAACCTTATTGTTAGAAATGAATTTCTGGGAAACTATTATAGACGTTTGCTCTGCTGCTTATTATGGCCTTGCTGGCAGGTTTGAAATCAGTGGCTGTGTGATTGCTGGTGGATGAATGCATCCTTTTTGTTTGCAGAGACTCCTGTGCACAGTGGGTCATCATCTCCTATCCCTGTGACTCCCAGCAAGGAAGCGAGTGCTGCATTTGCTGGTTTTGAAGGGAGACGAAACAATGAAATAAATGAGGTAACTCATTCATGTATGATGGTCATACCCTCATTCCTGTTTTGTGGTGAGATTCTGTGGGAGGAAATCAAGATTTCTTGAAGCTTGATGTTGTTGGTGCTAGTAACAAAATTGTTAACATTATCATCTTTTACACTGTATTTTTAGTTCCTAAAATGTCAAAATCACTGGGATTCCTGCTAAGACTTACAATCATCTCTTACTTAACACAGTTACTGAAATGTCAGTATTTTCATTTTCTAGGAGAATGTCAACAAACTTTCTGCAAAGGGCTAGAGTAAATAATTTGGGCTTTAGGAGAACACTAGTGGTCCTTATTAAACCAAGACTCCCTTATTTTATACCAATAATAACATGTACTATGAGTTTTTTGGAGCTTGGATGATGCAGTTGTTAAAGAGATTGCTAACCAAAAAACACAGTGGCTCGATCCTAGCAGCCTCTGTGGGAGGAAACCATCTACTTCTGTAGGGATTTACAACCACTTCTGTAAGGATTTACAGCCTTGGAAACCCTACTCTGTCCTCCGGGATTGCTGTGAGTCTGAATCAGTTGATGGCAGTGACTTCAGGCTTTTTCGATTCTATGGTTTGTGGGGTTTTAAAAAAACAAATCCTACAACTCTCCTGCATATTTTCTATGCCATTATCAGATGGATTGACACAGTGACCAGGTTAATGGTGGCAGGTGTATCAGAGTCAGACCGGCTCAGGATAGAGCAGGGTTCAGAGCTGCTATACATAGGGTCGCTATAAGTCACAGGTAACTCGACAGCACCCAACAGATGCCCATGATATGTCTATGCTTGTTATTTGCCTGCTAGCAGTGTATGCAAAAATGTGGCCTTTAATTCTAAAACCAGCAACATACGTATACACATGAAAGAATGTGTTAGGTTCCTTATTTTCTAAAGCTGACTTGCCACATAATTGTCATGTGTTAGAATTTTTTTTTTTTTTTAAAAAAGCACTGGTCAAATATAAAGGCTACTTGTGACCCATGAACTCGATCTGGCCCACACATAAGCTTTGTAGTTGGCTGACCCCTAATATAGAGACTAGGAGGCCTAGTTGATGTGACAGTGATGGTCGAGGGGGGGGCTAGGAAAGAGCAGATAGGAAGGTATTGCTATAGGGGTGTTTGTGAATGCTTGGGCGCCATCTCATGGTTAAAGGCATAGCTGCAGGCTGTAGTGAAAATGATTGCTGGTGACTGGTATTTCAGAGGCTCTTGAGAGCCAACTCCTGAGGTCTTGACAAAGTGTTCCATTCTTAGTGTTTTCTAAACAGCTCAGCATCTGGGTCAGCCCTGATTAATTTTGCAGGTACCTACTCCACTTTATCAAGCCACTGTGTTTGGACATGGCTATTTCCTGTTAAGATCCACAAGGGACTCCCCTGCACTAGACACTTAAGAGTCTTTCCTGTCAAATGTGAATTTGGTACATGACAAAACTATTTTAGAAGTGTAGCCGGAATGCTTCTTAGAAATGAGATGTCATCGCTCATATTTTGGATGTGCTCTCTGGAAGGAGCAGTCCCGGAGAGGGACTTGGTAAAGTGGAGAGGCAGGGAAGGAGAGAAAGATTGGATCGATACTGCGGCTGCAGGCATGGGTGTGAGCACAGCAGCGACTAGAAGATGGTGCAGGATCTAGCAGCATGTCATGCTCTTGTACATCTGGTTGCTAGGAGTCAGACCAACTGTAGCGCACTTAGCGGTGTGACAACATGCATCATGCTGGAATACAGGACAGAGGGAGGGTTCCCCAGTTGCTAATGAAATTACTGAATCTCAAAACTCTGGCAGCTGAGTGAGAGCTGAGACTGTCTTGGTGGCCTTGTTTTTCCAGGTCTCACACACTTTCTGCTTTTGACAGGGTGCAGTCTTAACACCCTCAGATCACTTCTTTTACTGGAGAAAAAAAGCTGTTTCCCTTTTATGTTTCTACCTTTCCAAGATTCTGGCCTTTGCAGTGCCCCCCCCCCCATTATGAACACTTTGCCTGGATGATGATTCTTTTTCAGTATTTGTTTTTAGATTAAAGTTTACACAACAGAGCAGAGAGTCATTCAGCAGTGCGTTCATGGGCTGCTCTGCTAATAGTTTAGGTTGGTTTTTATGGTTGATTCTTCTAACAAGGTCGAATTTTTCCAAGGAAAAGGGGCTAAATGAACACAACATGAATATACAGGTTCGGAATTAAGAAAGTGAATATTCCTTTAGTTTTTTATTCGCTCTATCTTTTCTCCTCCCGATAAGCTCATGCTACTTCGATCAAGGAGCCTGGCTTTCTCCACTATATGCTTGTATTATAATTTCCAGCTCATTAGCAGTGTCTCTGTGTAAGCAGAGGAAGGTGGATTTTCCTATAACTGACTTAAAGGCAAAAAAAGTTTTAGAAAATGTCTGTAGTACCAAACTAATAAACGTGGAAATACAGAAACTACATGGAAAAGAAGTAGTAAATTTGGAACCAAAAACCACCCCCTTCACATTTTTAAGTCCAGTGTCTGGTAAGCGATTGTACACAAGTGTCGGCTGCATGTCTCTATTTCGTTGTTTGATCCCGTTTGATGTGTTATGTCATGCTGTCCTCTGTAGTTTATACACACAGAAAACCAGGAGTTGCTCTTCACTGCCACCAGTTTCCCTCCCATTTCCTGACTCACCTGTGAAGCCCTCCAAGGATGGGAGCGGATATGGGGCTGCACTAAGACCCTCATGTCTGTCCTCCAGCCTGAGACGATCAACCCAAACCAAAGGCATTGCCATGGAGTTGGGTCCATCCCCTGGTGACCCTGTAGGACAAAAGTGCCCCAGATGGCTAGGAAGCTGAAGGCTTCCGGAAGCAGACGGCCACACTTTTCTTCGGCAGAGCTGTTGGTGCATTTGCATCTTTCCATTGCAGCTAAGTGCTTTAAGCACTGTGCTGCTGGGGCCTCCTTGAGACGATTAAAGCGCCTGCATCTCTGTGGCTTCTGGAGTGTGAGTTGTGTAGGTAGGGTGTGTTAAGAACGGACTAACTCGAGCATTCTTCTCTTACTTTCCCCCAGGTGCTCTCCTGGAAACTTGTCCCAGACAGTTTCCCCCCAGGGGACCAGCCGCCTCCACCCTCCTACATTTACGGCTCCCAGCATTTGCTGCGCCTCTTTGGTAAGAAGCCCTGGCTCCTGCTTGCTGCCATGATGCGGCGTTCGGTTTTACTTTCAGTATTTCCACTAGCTTGCATACTTTTTAAGGATCTCTGGTGGCCTAGTGGGTAAGGATCTGTGCTGCCAACCCAAAGGCACATAGTTTGGATCCACCAGCTGCTCCGTAGGAGAAAGCTGGGCAGTCTCTCCTCATGTGATTTACTGCCTCTGAAAACCTGCTGGAGGGTCAGCTATGAGCCAGTTTCGATTTGATAGCACCCAACAGTCCAAACAACAGTGTACTTTTTGTGAGTTTTGGCTGCAATCTAGCTAATTATGGAACTTTTGGAGCTGGACCAGATCATCACAAGGTGACCTCTTCAGAGACTAGGCACCGAATGGTTTATATGTCATAGAGTTTGCTGCCTGTTTATTTGTAAGAATAGTCTCCAAACCCTTGGTGGCTCAATGCTCAGCTGCTAACCAGCATTGATTTGAACCTCCCAGGCCAGCTGCCCCCATGGAGGTAGGTGACCACCTTGGAAGCCCATGGGCAGTTCTGCTCTGGCCTACAGGGCTGCTGTGAGTCTCTAGAACTTTACTCCAGAACGAAGGATGCCCTCCTTTGATTTGCTGCACGCTTCTGTTTGATGATGTGTTAGTTTCACTTCCACTAGGGTATAAAAGAAACTGACGATTCCTTATTGTGCTACATGTTCTTTGAATCTGTAAAATAATACATTTTTTTTTAAATGCAGTTAAACTCCCTGAAATCCTTGGAAAGATGTCTTTTTCGGAGAAGAATTTAAAGGCTCTCCTAAAGCACTTTGATCTCTTTCTGAGGTAATTTCATTCCTTTGAATGTGGTTCACCACAATGGGCTAGAATTTGAACATCCTTTATCTAGTTTACTACTTCAGGCTGGCACTAGACCAGTCTTTATGAGTTGGCACTATGACCTGAGATTAGAACATCTTTTAGCTGGGCAAGTTAGGATACAGTGTAGTATTACCAGTTCTTCCTGTAAGTTTTAATATAACTTAGCCTACATAAGGCTTATGGCTTTCTCAAATGAGGTTTACTGAATGTATAATTTGTTCTTTTTCAGAGTTTATAAATAACAGGAAATTAGAAATCTTCACTGAGCCATGGCCTCCCCCCACCCCCCTGAAGTGTTTATAGAATCAAGACTGTTAACTAATCCAGTTTGAGCTCTGTTTATATTTGGGCTCCTGATAATAGTGAAAAGACTGCGATGGAATATTAGTGTAGAAGTTGGATATGAGCCATGAGAACAAATAGAATACAGGCATTCCTCAGAAATACTGTAGGTCTGTTCTAGATGACCAAAGTATCACAAAAAAGCAAGGCACACGAATGTCTTGGTTTCCCAGCACATATGAAAGCCATGCTTACCTGCTGCTGTGGGGTTTATATAATAAAGTGTGCAATAGTGCGATACCAGTGGCTGGGCTACTGTGAGAACTCTCAGAACGTGACAGAGCCAGTAAGTGAGCACATGCTGTGCTGTTGGGAAAATGGCGGCAGTAGACTTGTGGAGTGCCAGAAACATTCAATTTCTCGAAAACACTGTCTGTGAAGCACAATACGAAAAAGATGTATGCTGATTTACAAGTCAGGGTTATAGTCACTCTTCTTCCTAATACCAAACCCCCCCGAAGGCCAGCAGCATTCGCTGCGAGAGTCGGCAGTGACATTTCTGCTGACGCCCTGTGTCCTCTTGCAGGTTCTTGGCGGAGTACCATGACGACTTTTTCCCAGAGTCTGCGTATGTGGCCGCCTGTGAGGCGCACTACACCACCAAGAACCCTCGGGCCGTGTACTGAGGGCCCGAGCGCAGTGTCTGGAAGGACACTCCCTGCCAGGTGACAAAGGGGACAGCAGCAGCAGGGTTTCTTTGTTGGCAGAGGACAGCGGCCCCCACACAAGGTGCTGGAACAGAGCTGGGCCGTTTCTGTTAAGCCTGACGGACTCAGTGCCCTGCTCTGCCAGCGGTTCTTGGCACTGCCTTGGTGAGCTGCGGTGGCAGGCACACAGCAGCTGGCTCAGCTTCTCCGCTGGTGCAGGGAGAAAACAGCAATCACTCACTTGTTAGCAAGAAATGATTTGTAGTTGTGCATAGTACACAAAATCATTTTGTAAATACTAATTTTTATAAAGAGACTGAACGCCTCTGTCCCACCTGACAGGAGTTTACACGTGGACACTGCTGGCGCATCAGAGTAGCTTAGAGGAACGTGATTCTGAAGGCAGAGAGAAAATCTGCAGCGGGAATACGCTGGCCTATTATGGCTGCTTTTCTGTAAAACATATTTTTGGTGCTCTCAATAAAGCGTTTCCTGTCTTGTGGGATAGAAATATTGTACCCAGGAGAGTTTTCACTGTGCCCTGTCTTTAGTGTCTCTCAATTTACCTGTGTGCCTGGTTTTGTTTATCTCCTTTTGTTTCATCTGTGCGTCTTTTGGGTTAAGATCCTTTGTTGTTGTCCTTCTCTGACTTGGAGTGAGGGGGGACCCTCTGTACCCTACTGGTGGCACACTGTGGGCTGGGGCCAAGGCCAGATTACCCGCATCCCTCACTATCAGCTGACTGTCTCCAACGTGACCTTCGAATATTCATGCCCTCCTTCCTCTGCTATGCCCTTTCCCCACAGGAGGTGCCAGCATTTCAAATCCAAAGTGGCCACTCTTGTGAGCCTGCAGTGTGCTTTGAGTTGTTGAAAAAGTTTAGTCAGTGATTATTCATGGCCTGAAGGAAAAAAAGCAAAATGTTTTTGCCCTTTATAAGAATCTGCTTGTTAAATGTCTTCAGTGAAATGAATACAGACTGTCTCTTTGAACAGTTATACTGTCATATACGTTGAAGTTAAAATGAGTTCATTTTCTAATGGTACAGTTTTTCTCTTCCCCAAAGACATTTCTTAATCACAACTTCCCAGAAAAATCTGAATATGTATAGTAGCTTAGTTTGGTTTTAAATAATGACCTTTCTTTAAAATACGATTCTTTTAAGCTGTTAAATTTATGGAGTAATTGCTCAGATCATTTTTTATTTCAAAGTCTAGACAATCCTTATAGAAAAATCGGAATGTTTCTTCCTTGCTCAGGGCTCACACAGAGCTGTTTGGAAGGGATACAGATCCTCCCACTTCTCACTATGGCCCAGGAAAGTGACTGCCCTTCTGGTTAAGCACCCTGAGAGGAGCTTCAGAGTCTGTCGCTCCACTGTCATTAAATACCCACTCCCCACTCTTCCTCTCTGTCCCCTCTGAATAGCTTGTAAGGCAGAAGGAAGAATTTGGCAGGCTATGTAGGCACTATAGCTGGCCAGCTAGTTTGTGGTGATTTCCAGTAAAAACAAGGGCCTGTCTCAAGTTTGTTGTTCAGGGGTGGAGGCCGCCTTCATTTTCCCGAAGTATAACCTTTGCACATCATGGAAGTCTATTTGCTTCCTGTTGCTGCTTTCAGAAACCACCAAACTTGGCGGCTTACACCAGAATGCTTCTTAGAAGCAAGGCTAGTGACACTTGTCTTTGAGCATGTCAGGAAAGGCCAGTCCTTGAAGGAAGACATCGTGCTTGGTCAGGTAGAGGGCTAGTGAAAAAGAGGAAGGTCCCCCGGGAGCTAGATGGCCAGTGGACAGGGCAGTGGGCGTCAGCGCAGCTGAGGGTGCAGATGGTGAGGGTGGGTATTGTTTCCTTCTGCTACACAGAGAGTTGCTCAGAGTTGGAGCCAGCTCGGTGACGCCTAACAGCAACAATGGCTTGAAACAACAGTTGATTGTTTTCTAGTTCAGGAGGCCACAGAAATCCCACTGCACTGAGAATGAGAGATTAGTAGGGGGCAGAAATCAAGAGTGCCCCACCACTGGCCTGGGCTTCCTTCTCTCAAGAGGAAGAACTGAGGTCTCTGAGGGAAGGCGAAGCCAGGCGAGATGTGCTTCCCGTCCAAAGTGGAGGGAATGATGGCAGTGGGGCACTCTTGCTGACTGAGGTGCTGTGTCAGCCTCTCTGTTCTCTCTTCGAGATTTCCCGACTATCACTCATTTGTGCACCGGGAAGGGTGCACTCATTTGTGCTTTTGTGTGAAATGCTTTGTCACGCTCGGTTTCCTCCAGGAGGCTGGGGCAGGAGAGGGCAGCCCCAAGAGTAGGGGGAGCTGCCAAGGGATTCATGTGATCTTATACATAATCAGAAAGGACCCAGAAGCAGCCCAACCTACAAGATCATGTTTTACAGGATCCCATTTCTAGGAAATGGAAAAGAAAACAAACACCGAACCAAACCCACTGCTGCCAGGTCCATTCTGACTCCAAGCAATGCTCTCTAGAGTTCTGAGCCTGTAAATCTTGACGTGAGGAGACAGCCCTCTGTTGGCACTCCCATGGAGCGGCTGGTGGACTTGAACCACTGGCCTTTCAGTTAGCAGCCCTGCCACCAAGGCTCCTCTGAAATATCCAGGGTAGGCAGATCTATAGAGAAAGTAGATGACTGGTTGTCAGGGTAAGAGAGAGGACCAGAGGATGACTGCTGAAGTCTTCATTTTTTCAATTGTACATTTTAATGGATGAATTTTATAGTATGTGAATTCTATTGCAAAAAGGGGGAGTAGGAAGAGTATGGATAGAGGAAATTATGTGAGTCTTAACCCCATGCAAAATAAACATGGGAGAAAACTCCATCATCAAGACCTATCTACCTCTTAGTTCTCTGAGTTCGTGCTTCACCTCCAGGTCAGAAAAGTCAGCGTGGTGCCTTTATGTCATTTCCTTGGGAAGCACATATGGAGTTGATGGGTCTTCAAGCTCCGCTCCGCAGGTTTAAGGCAGGCAGGTTTAAGGAGTGAGTGTATACCAGGATTGTGATTAAAAGAAAAACCTACTAAGCAGACAGGCTGGTGATTTGTTTTGAGAATGGTTTGTTGAGAAGAATAGATCAGAACCAGGTAATCTTTCCAAGTCTTCATGTTTGCGGATTTCTTAACATCAGTCTTCATCCTTCCAGATAGGAGTGAGAGTCACGGGTTGTAAAGTGCTCGACCAGGTCTTTCTATTGATTTGTACCCTTTTCACTTAGATTTACAACTTTCGGTGGAATGATTTCATAAGTCATTTTGGAGATGGACTTCAGCGCCAGGTGAATTACACCAGCTGGCAGATTGTATTTACTGCCCAATCTTCACTTTATAAAGGTGACTTGTGAGACAATTTGAGGTCGTCAGCCTCCATTAGGCGTCCATTTTTGTCCTGAAAAGAATTTGGGGTGGGATGATTGGTGAGCTGTATATAAAGAAATCTATTAATATCTGAGGTTGATGGGCTGTTTAGATGTGCTTGAGTAATCCATAAAACAATGTCTGAAAATGGTCAAACACTACGGGAGGGAAGACTTGCTAAAGATTTTCTTTTGTTAAATGCTATTTCAACTAAGATATTCTGTAGTGCAGAAAGCTAAGCCAGTTAGAGTAGCGAAAGAGTTAATTTGGTGGTACACAAGAGGCTATGGTGTGGGAGACTGGAAAATGTCTCTCTGTCTTGACTCCAGTCCTCCCCACCATTTCCCTGGCCCTTGAAATGGGAGACTGCACTTCCTCTCACTGCGAGGTGCGTCTAATCAAAGTCCCTGGGTGGAACAGTTCACAAAGACACTGACCACTTCCTGCGTTGGTGAGTAGTGACTGGGATCTTAGGCGTTTTTAAGTGGTCATGTGAAGTGCAGTTATTGGTCTCTGCCGCCTCTGGAGCAAAAAAGAGGGAAGAAGATCAAAGAGACGTGGGAAACAACTGGGCCAAAGAACCAGTGGACCATGAACCTCAGCCTTCACGCCCTTTAGCTGAACTAGGTGGTGACCACTGCTCACCATCTGGAAGGGAACACAACAGAGCCAGAGAAAAATGTGTAGCCAAAGTAAAATGATTACGAAAAGACTAAGGCTACTGGTGTTAGACTGACTGAACCCCCTGGGGCTGTGGTCTCTTGTCATTTGTGGAGCCAGGAACCTAAGTAACCCTGTGGCTCACCTACTAACCAAACTAGACAGGCCCATAAGGTGATCAGTAACACCATGGAAGAACAGTCTCTATTCGAGATCAGAAGGGCAGCATTTGTCCAGAGAGAAAAGTCGAGAAGGCAGGAAGGGATAGGCAAGAATGAATGGAAATGGGAAGCACAGGGTGGGAGTGGGAAGAGTACAGTTACATTGGAGGGACTGCAATGGCACGAAATAAAATATACATGGATTGTTGAGTGGAATACAGATTCCTTCTGTTAACTTTAATTTACAATAAAATAACTTAAAAAAATGTGTAGTTGTCTTTCGCCTCCACTGCTCCAGTAGTCCCTTTTCACATCCCCAGTTTCTTTCCATAGAAAGCTTCTCCCCCATGAAAAGAAAACCCAATAATATATACTTCGATTAATTGTTACTTTGTAATAAGAAGATTACAGACATAAAACTGTCAGGAGTAGAGATGCAAAAGGAAAAAAAAGAGTTTTTCTTTCCTCTTGAATTTGGTCTTTGTGACTTGCTTTTATCAAAAGAAGGTCGTGGAAATGACTCCCTTATCTTCTTGCCTTTAAAACCTTGACTCCATGTGGATTAGCCCTGAGTTAAACCATTGGATGGGAAGAAACATGAGACGCAGAGGCTCTTACCACTCCAGCCTCAAGAGGCATGTGAGTGAAGCCATGTTAGACCATCCAAAACTCAGGAATTCAGAAGACCTCAGCCACTCAAACTCCACCTCCTTTTCCTTCTCCTCAGGTCTTGTACATAAGTAGAAAGGAACAAATTACATTTTAAACATAACTTGGAAACTACTGTTGTTT